ACAGGAGAGTACACCCCCTTATGCTCTCCGCAGTCAAGGTCCCGTACCAGATCAACCATGGGTAATGCCTCGACCCACTCGTAGTCGCATACCCTGATTTGTTTCTCCCGCCGCAAGTCGATCCTCTTCCCCATAATTTTTTTTAACTTGTCAATACAACACACTTTCATTCCGATAGTAAAGTAGCCAAGCGGGAGCAAACACTACCTAATCTTTTGAGTAAGCATTAACTTATAAACCATTGCGTTGTTTGATAAGTAACTTAAACAGTACTTATCCCCTTTTCCTTACATATTTTCTTTCTTTTTTTCAGATTTATGGCTTCCTCTGAACGAGATACAGACTTAACAGCGATGTTAAATTAATTAATTAAGCTGCCCAATTTGTTATACAGTGGCACAACCGCCGGTCTACCAATGTACAAACGGTCACATTGTCTGCTCCTTATGCTGACCGCAAATTACTGTATGTCACACTTGCCGGGAGACACTTGGCCATATTAGAAGTCTAGTCACGAAACAAATTGCTTCTACAATAAAACTTCCTTGCGTCAACCAGGCATATGGGTGCCCTGAATTGCTACGGAAAACCGATCGAGAAACTCACCAACTTCAGTGCCCTTTTAGACCTCTGACCTGCCCGTTTGTCGATCTTAACTGCCCCTGGAAAGGTGAACTTTCTAATTTATCGACCCATATACTCCAAGCTCATCCTCAAGTATCCAATCTATATCAGTCCTCCATACTCTTTTTTGGCATCCACGCAGACGGAACTCTTCCTCAAATGTGGGCAGTCATCTTAAACTGTTATGACAGACATATTCTCCTCCTAGTTACAAAACATCAGCAGAAAACCTCGACTGTCCAGATAAAGGTTCATCTACTAAACGACCACCTTCCCTCTATCTCCTTTACTTATTGTATCGCCTTTAAGAGAAGCCTTAACTCTTTTCGTTGGATGTCTTCTGATATTCCCCAATGGGGATCCTTCTACACCCATAAGCTTCATCCTCCCCTAGAATTACCGATGAATATTATAAATTCCTTCTGCGCACAAAATAACTTCAAGTTTTTCCTCACTATTTCCATCCATTAAACTCCATCTTCTGCCCCTTTGCAGAAATAACTGAACCGGACGAATGGTGGAACCCGGACCCTTCCCCAGCCTCATCGCCTCCTCCTAGAGCAGAAGTAAATGTCATTTCGCTCCGATCCGCTTTAAATTTCGCCCGGAGCCAACGACAAAACAGAACCACCCCTGCTAATCTTATCCTCCCGGTTGGCCATTTTTGTCCACCCGCGCTCGAAGAATCCTTTCAAGAGGAAACTCGGCAAACCGAACAGTATTATCAGCAGCGGCTCAACATTGCTCCACATGCATCCAGAACCCCTCTATTTTCCACAAGACCTCCTAGAGGAAACTCCCGACCACGTCGAACTTCCAACAACAGTCCCCTAACCTCTCCTCCTTGAGGAGAGCCTATTGAATGTTTATTTTCTTTTATTATTATTGTTTTATTGTAATCAATCTTTACTTATGCCCATACATTGTATAACCATATATTTCGTATTTTTAATTTAGTTAGACTTTGAACCATTTATATACATGTATCAAGTAGTATAGAATTTTTTTTAGTAAAATATGTTAAAACAACCCCCAAAATTCCTGGATCTCACACATATTTGTTGAATGAATTACTTAAATTAATATAAAATATTTCGAATAATTAGCTTACTAAATTATTACAAAATATTGTATTAATTAAAATTCGTATATAAATTATCCTACTACACATAACAGCTAGAAAAGGAAAACAAAATTATTACATTGTCTCGTTAAAGGTCGCCTAGGGGCAACTATTCTGTCATTCCTAAATATATTACATCGTATTTTGGTCATGTGTAATAATTAAACGATGTCGAAATTTGAGATTTTATATCGCAATTTATTAACACTTAAATATATAAATAAATTGTAACCCTCTTAATGTTCAGTTTTCGTTAACAGAGGGCACTCCTATACTTTAAATGTGCGCCATCACCATGGCAACCGATGTGGATGGTTGCTTTAACTCAGATTTTCCGTAATAAATTGCATGTTAGTTTTTTAAAGTTTTATAAATTTTTAAAAGTCGCGAGTGAAAATGCATAAGAATTATAATATAAAAAAAGGGGTCGACTTCACCCGGTGAAATCGATCCCTTCAAAAGTCAAAACGATCTCTTTACTTTCGCCTGATAAAAGAAAAGACACTTTCCTTTGACTTTAAAGAAAGTTGTCTTTTATTTGCTAATCCAAAACTACACCAGAATAATAAGTCCTATTAATAAAAAAGGTCCGAGTGGACAACGATACTAATAGAAATTTGTAATTGGTTATAATTTTTGCCAGAAGTAAAATGAACTAAAGCACAAATTTGCAATTTTTTTTTTCAAGTTTTAACTTAAATGCTTTAATGCAGTCCCATATCAATGTAGCAAGGAAATTTCGACCCTAAATCTTTATAATTAATTCGCATAATACTATGTATCTGTAATGAAGTCCAAATACAAAAGCAGGATTTTACCGTCAAGTTTTCTTTTCATTTAAAAACTCATTTGGATTTTATTGCGAAGGATTTCAGAACTTTCTGACAGAAGAGCCAACGTACAGTACTTCTATAAACATTCATCTCTGACACATCAAATTTTCTAAGAACATGCCAATGGTAAAAATACTATATATATATTAAAAATTAATTTGCATTATATTAAAGATTTTTTCGGTTTTTTTTTTGAAATTCTTTCTAATTATTTCAATAACATCATCTTCATAACTAAATTAAAAATTAATCGATTATGCATTGAAATGTTTCTAATATAAACCAGCAATTATTTATATATGCCTACTTGTGAGCACTACGTTGGCCTGTTTTTTCCTACACTTATTACACAGTTTCTGGACACAAGATCAGCCTAAAACATGAATTTATTTTCCCAAAAAAGTACGCACACAGAAAAATATTTTATTTTAAAAACTGAAAACGGAATACAAGAGTTTTCGTACACAGATAAAACTCGAAAAGATCCCGTTTTGTATAAACCTTTGGTAGATATAAAAGGATATATCTCTTATACTTTAGAGCTAATTTTAAAAGATAAAAGTCACAATATAGTATACAGACCACTGTTTTACACAAAACTGTATAGTCTAAAACAACATATACAGTAATTGTAATTGGATTATTAATTAATAAATAAAATAAATACATACAAATAACCAATTGACAACACATTTCATAAATCTATACTAATATAATAAAGAGGTAATGTTTGTATGTTAGTTTGTATGCAGCAGGTAATCTCCAAAACTACTCATCCGATTTCAAAAATTCTTTCACCAATATTTAAAATGGAACCTCAGGGTGGACATAGGCAGTCGAATACATGTCGAAATTACCATATTGGGGGGAAAGGGACAGGATTAAGGCATACTGTGAAAAACTTGGCTTCTATTATACTATTTTAGATGCGGGTTTTTGCATTTTTGATTGCGTTTTAATAGGGTACGTCAAGAGAATGTACACTAAGAAGAAATTTTTCGAATGATTTTCTCCTAGGGGGGAAGTGTTATACATTTATAATAGATGCATTTTGAGCCACAACAAGGCGTGGCGGGGTCTGCTAGTATTTTAAAATTTTATATGAACTAAATATTTATGAAAGAATAAAAAATAAATAAAATAAATATGGTATAATTTTGGTTAAAACACAGAAATAAATAAACATAACAGTGAATCTAACATATGAGACCGAAGAAACGTTAATTATAAATTAAAATGTACTTGTAATATACTAGATTTTACATAGGGGAAACGAGTAGACAATTAAAGATTTGTTTCAAACAACATATATCTACCATTAAGTATAATAATAATTCTGCCGTAGCAATCCACTGTAACAGAGAAGGTTGTCAAATAATATAGAAGAAATCAAATACATATAAACAAAGATGGTGTCAGCGTTTTGTTATTTTAGTTTTTGTGTTAACGAAGGGTTCACCCTTTAGAAAATCGAATTTAAACAAACTTATGCTTTGTTTCGTTTATTTTAACTACACAAACAACGAGATGCACGTTAAAATATTCTTTCATTTGACAGTTTTTAAATTATTACTGTTATTAGTTGTTTTCGCTGATGATATAAAACACATATTACGTATTGAAAAACAATACAAGTAACTTGAGAAAAAGTACTCATTATTATTATAATATTATGTTAAAATTCGTAATTTTCAAATGAATAAAAGTTAGTTACAAATGAGTATTATTAAACAAATCCCTGGTAAAAGTGGGTTTGGGTATACATTTTTTATTCCTAAGTTCGAAATTTAAATGAGTATCGAGTCAGTGTGTCTGAATGGCAACTTATGCACGAGCCATCCTGTTTGGCGATTTCATTCCTGGGTTAATGTCATCTGTTGTAAGTTATCGATGGACAGATAATTATAGCGATATATAGAATTGTTTTGTTGGGCGGCAATATAAAAAGGTACACCTATAAATTCTGCCTGATTATCCTTCGTTAATGTCGAGAATGGAGATAGGTAGGTGTTAACCGAAACCAGAAATAGAAAGATTCGGAGAGGAGGCCCCGATTAACCATATAGGAACGTCCGATACAATCGAAATGACGCTATTTCAATTCATACCTTTTCCTCTGTATGGTAATAGATACAAAACGGCACGACTCTATCCTACAGCAAAAGTACGACGTACAGAGGCCAGCCACTACTAATTCGAGGTGAACAGCATATATTTTAAATGAAATAAATAAAACATAGAATTAAAACTTGCCGCCTGGCATGTCCAATAAATAATTTCTGCTTTGTATATAGTTTCATTTGGAAATTTTAAAATGACTAATTTTTCTTTCAAGTAAGTAAATATTTTAAATCTCGTCAAAATTTAAATAAGAAATTCGTAATTTTATTCTTTTATTTTTAAAAATATTCTTAAAAAGCACGTGTGCAGAATTTCCAATTGGAACAGATGCAAATATTGTGCTTTACATCTATATGACGTCAAATCTCTACTTGTACACGTTGAAATATATAAATTAGTGTTGTCCCTCGGAGCTAATTGAAGTTGTAAGTTATTCATTTCTTTTAATGCTGTCCAGTTGCAAGTAGAATCATGGCGAAGTTCTTGCTGTCGTTTTTCATTTTAAGTAATTATTTATTTTTTTCGTAAATTAGTAAAATTTCTTTTTTCTGAATATTTTTGTCACAATGCAAAATTTTTCTCACAGCATTAATATTTATTTTTTAACTGTAATTTACTTTTAAGCTTTAATTCCAATACTACCAGGAAATTGTGCGCTTGATAGTATAATTGAAAATGTTGTGACAATTTTGACCCCTTTACTGCCATCTGATAATTTACTCTCTACGTTGCCTGAAGAGTTGAAAGAAATTATTGTTGTAAGTAAAAATCCTTATATAATATAGGCCAAAATAATTAATATTATATAATGTTTTAGTATGCAATACTGTTAAGTTAGTATACAAACCTGTTTGTTCTATTTCTAGAGCTAGAACATTTATGTACTAAATCTCATTTAACACGTGTTGTTTTATGTTCCTAACGACCGAGTCATATTTATTAAAATAACGTAATTAAACGGTCTTTGTAAGAAAGACAATTTTTGAATTCATAATTGTTGTTTAATTTCAGAATATTCATTAACTAGAAATTATATGCACAAATCTTGAAAAGCAGTCAGAGATTACCTTTTTAAATTTCAGTTTTTCTTGATATTTTCAGAATATAACGACTGGGTTACCGGAATGTTTGAATTCGAGTACGTTCCCTTCACTCGGCTGTGAAAAAGAAATAGACAGCGAAAGTAGTATGACGTCAATCGTTACAAACATCTCGTGCCTGTTAAATAAAGTTTGTTACAGAAATGACACGCCTAATGTAGTCAGAGTGCAGCAATGTCTTTCGAAACTATTTTCGCGTAGAGTATACGCTGTGTCAAAAGATTATTTTAACGATTGGGTAACTAAAGTATACGAGTGTATTATTGTCATTTACATCGATATCCGTGCTGGAGTTACCAATTGCGATTTGTTCAATGAAATTCTAGCATTAAATATTTCATCTATTGCAAATAATCTAAAAGAGGGTATTTTCTTCAGTACCACAAGTAATTTAGTAACATTATTGAAAATTCTTAGTGGAGATATGGAAGCAAGGTGTCCCTTTCCAAGTTAATCAGTCATAAATTATTCTCGATGTGAATTTACGAAAATATAACAAAATAAAAATTTAATTCTACTTCATATAAATATAGATTTCTGGCTGATTTCATTCTTTTCCAAGCAATCATTCGTATAACTCCTTGCAAATTACCTTAATCGGCTAAATGATGTTTTTAAGTCGCGTTTAACACCGAATTATCCGGATGAGATGTGACACGCGCATAAGTAAAACGTTGTTCCTGCTTAAACGCGTTTTTACGTTGTAGTTCTTGCACGAATTCATGCAAGTGTGTGCAGGGCGCATTTAATGTGTTTTCACTTTTCGGGACTCGGAAGCAAAATGTAGTGTAAGTAGACGACGGAGCTCCCTCCAGTCGGGGATTCGGGTGAGACAACGTGCACCTGTGTTATTCTGGAAACACAGGTGCACGTTGTCTCACCCGTTTGCAACACCTTTTATGGGACTTATGTACCAAATATCGTATAACGGATAAAGTAGGGAAATAAGAGACGGAGAACCTCGGAAGCAATTTACTCAAAAACAAATTCATAAATAAAAACGAGGATATATTTATTGCGACATCACAGTTTTAATAATTTTTTCATTGAAATTATATGCTCTCCACCTTAAATTATCCTTACACAAGCGTGCTTTTGGTTTCGGCTCCTTTTCCTTTTGCAATGAGCCATAAGAGTGATTAAACTTGTAATTATTTTCCCACAAGTTTTTCTCATTTCCGTTTTGGTTAACAATTTTCTAACAGTTACGTCTAGGAAAAAAAAACAATTCTGTATTATCGCATAATTGTTTTTGTGAATTTTTTACGCGGTAGTTTTTGGCTTAAATTTTTTCATGTTTGCAGTGAAGACCTCGTGGCTCCTCCCACGACACTGGAAAGGGGTGAAGGTAGCCCGTTGTTCTACTTTCTGTAGAAGAGATGTGATTAATGTAAATAAAAGAATTTTTCATTTTTTAAATCTACACCCGTAAGCCATTAAACTGCGGAGTATTTGATATCAAGTAGTGAAATTTTCGCTTATTCTGTGAGGGACACTTGAAATCGAGTGATAAAACACTCATTAATTGATTAAATTGAATTGTAAGCGATTTAACCGTTGATTTGCCGTTGCCTCTGTAGGATTCTTCTACTCTAACGAGTGTCGTCTGTGTTTAATCGCATTTAATAATTAAACTTATTGTTAAAAAAAAATTAATTTAATTAAGATCTGTGTTCGAAAAATGAATTTCGCGATCTAGAATAATTCCATTATACAAATTTTTATTTGTAATCTTAATTTAATTTTAAAACTTTTCATGTAATTTTAATTTTGTGATCAGTACCTTTCAAATTACTAATACTAACCGTAGATTTGTCATTGCCCCTTTTTCTAGTCTAACGACTGTCGTACGTGTTACCTCTTTTAAACAATAAATATATCCGCCAAACTCCTCCTCCCTACAGTAACTCTATCAGACACTTTCTTGCCGTTAATTGGTTTTTACAGTTCTCCTTGAAATGCCCCCTACACAGTTGTTAGTGTTTTCTCTAACGAGACATGTTAGACCAACGAATCGGCATTATTTCTGAGCAGTCTAGATGAAACTTCCCAGACAATTGCCCTACTCCTTTAATAGTACGTCTTTCAGTTATAACGTAAACAAACGTTAAACCGTAGCATTTTTCTACGTTTATTAATCTTCTCTTCATAATTTTCAAGTAAAATGACTGTATTTAGACTAGAAAGTGATTTATTCAAAACATCCGGCCGTAAATTTTGTTGGGAAAAACATGTCCATTCCTGTTGTTGCTTAATTGCGATAAAAATAAAATTACAGTAGAGCCTCGATTATCCGACTCAATTGGGGACTGGGTTTGGTCGGATAATTGAAAAGTCGGATAACCGAAAAGTATGAAAAAATCCATTATTAGTGTAGTATATTATTATATCCCACGTAATTAGTATATTAGTATATCGATATTAACCTACTACCCGTTGAATTTTCATTGATGTTAAGCTTAACAAAAATTGTTTAAAATAATAATCGTGGCTATTGTATCGTTAAAAATTAGAAAATTAAGCTTCGTTTAAATACTGGCTCCCTTTTATGGTCGATCCAGTGTTGCCAGCTAAAACACGTAAAAATAATATTAAAGTAGCCAAGACATAGCCAGATATTGTAGCGCCACATCACTAGCAGACATTTGAAATTTGCCGACTAGGATAGTCGGTTAACCGCGGTGACGATTAATTGGGGATCGGATAATCGAGGCTCTACTGTACTCGCTTATTATAGACGATTATAGTAATAGTTCATGTAATGTGTCATAATCACTTTTCGAAACAAAAGTTTTGTTCGCTTAGCATTACATACGTTTCACCAACTCCACCCTTTCCGCAATAGGCAAGATGGGTAAACAGTAGATGATTTTACAATTTTCTTCTCCATCATCACTGTTATTTTCTATACTGAAAGAAACATTTTATCCATCCAACGAGCCTATCTGCTAACTTTAGCAAGAGCCTACAGAACAGCACCTACCAATGCACTCCAGGTACTGGCAATCTTAGCTCCCTTAGATCTCAAAATCCTGGAAACATATTGGAAGTTTCATCGTAGTAGAAATCCTAGTAGCCTCCTTAAAGAAATTGACCTTCCTACAAGTATTAAAAACATTGCCGAGGATATCATTAAACACAATATGGACTACACCGACAAGCACTATAAACTATACCCTGCCTGCGGCCAGCATCCTATATACAATATCCACGTTGCTACCCAAGAAAATCAGCCACGGTTTAAAATCTTTACGGATAAGTCAAAGACACTAGAGGGCATAGGGTGTTCTGTGTTTATCATTGGACGAAATGAACGAAACGTTTGGCAGATAAGTGGAAAACAGGAAGGAAATTGTACAGTCAATCAAGCTGAGAGCCTTGCAATACTCAAGGCTCTCCAGTACATAGATTCACTTTAACGAGAAAACCTAAGTGGAAATTCTTAACGACAGCAAGATAGCCTTACTACAAGTCCACAAATTAAACACAAAACTAAACATTATTGCACTAACAGTAACCCTTTTCCGGTGCCTATCTGCGAAAGGCCTTGAGATCTCTTTTACCTCTGTTAGGGGCCACTCTGGCATTGGGGAAGTGAGAGAGCCGACCTTCTTGCAAAGAAGGTAGCACGATCATCAACGGAACTAGTGTTTGGGGAGCTCCCCAGCTGTTTGCTTTATGAAGAACTTAAAAAACTTACTATTTCGGATTGGCAAGCCAGGTGGAACAGAGAATCTACAGTACAAGTGAGCAGGTCATTAAACCTGCTCACTTGTCGAGATGGCTAAATTTCGAATGCGGTCCCGAAGGGTCGGGATTCTTTTTGTCAGGTCGAGTGGTGAAATTGAGAGGGGTCGTCGATTAGGCGTAGGCGATATGCGAGTAAACGATACCAGTTAACAACGAAAAGAACGATTTATTATAACGAAAATTAACGATTACAAACTCTAACATCATGAGAAATGAATTTAGTTCGCTAGCTCCTAACTCGCGGAGAGTTTACATTAACTGCTCCATACATCTAGTATACTTCCACGTAGATGGGAAAAATTTAGTCCTTTTTGCCGGTGATCGATGCACAAGATTAGAAATTCCTCCGAGACTTAACCCTTTCCGACGGCCGTAGATGTGCGACTCCCCCGAGAAGGGGAAAAGCAGTCGCTTTTATAGCTTCGGGTTGGGGAAATTAGTCATGTGATCCCCTATTGTGAGAGGTAGAGTTGGTTTTGCAGGAGTGGGGGTTAAAGTTGTTCACGAGACCGAAACAAAATGACGAATTCGGACTTTAACTATAAACTTTTTGTCTTGCAGCATAGGAATGTCATTGTTCGAAGGTTGAATGTTTATATTAACGAGGAAAGTTATCGAAGTTATAGAGGAAGTTTCTGTCTATATTTGATTCTTTTTTCATACAATGTTATTTTAACGAGGAGACGACAAATTTATGTCACATACGTCGAAAATTTAGGGGGAAAATGAACAATTTTGGCCTTACTCTGAGGTCGAATCTCACAGATACCGAGCCTTTTTTCTTACTTAATTAAAACATACCACAAAAATAGTAAATACGAGATGCAAATTGCGCGGTAAATTTAGTCAAAGAATAAATAACGGCGAATATAAATTTCGATTAATTAAGTATTTAACTTATAAGCATTTATCCCATTCTCAGCCAAATTGTCTCCTTTTAGACTGTCCCCTACAGCGGGGCCTGCATTTCGGTAGTACAGTAGAGCCTCGAAAACTCGGCCTAATGTTGACCGAAGGGTGCCGAGTTTGTGAAAATGCCGAGTTATCGGGAATGGGGTTAAAAAAGGATAAGTATGCGTGTTTCCTCAGAAAATATTGTACTGTACTTGTATGTATTGTTTGCATGAGAATACAACAGAGAATAAACTGCCCAAATACCCTTAAACAAAGGAAAAGTACGTCCTTTATGAAGGCATAGAGCCTTTACTACATTAAAATGAAAATTAATGAATACACTGTGTACAGTAATTTACTTGATAAGACAGACTTCAGAAAAATACTCTATGAGGCATAAAGCTGTCTATGATGAAAATTAATTATTTAAGGGTATTTTTGCCTTGCCTGGGTGTGGCCGAGTTATCCGGAGTGCCGGGTTATCGAGTGCCGAGTATTCGAGGCTCTACTGTATCATTTAAATGTTTTTGGTTAGACGTAAAATTTTTCACAGACAAAATATCAATAAATTCATCATTGATTATTCGTAAATTAATCAATAGTTAATACACAAATAACGAAACAATAGAAGGCCATATTTTTAATTATCTACGATTATTCATATTACGATTTTATAAATCTTTATGATGCGCTTTTATATAAAACGGAAGATTTGTTGAGGAATTTTTCTCGGGATGATATAGTAATTTTAGGAGACGAATGCCAGATTAGGCGAGGAACTGGATAATTTTTATGCCGGGTTTAACATTA